TGATAGTGTTGAATTAGAAAAGAAAAACAATATAATTTATTTTTCGGTAATGTGACAGGACTATTAAACAAGAATTGTTGATAAATATGACAATAAAAAATTATTCAGTATCGAAGATTTTAAACTCGTTTCACGTTGTAACTTTATCAGAGAAAACAATTTCAATTTTATGGGAGATTCTGAATTCTTGGATAATTTTAAGCAAAAGATGACAATACATGTTTATCACATTATTATCAGTGACTATAACAAGAATTCTTGTTATAGTCGCTGTTATTATGCTATAATTGTTCCCATTTTTCACTTGTATTTTAAAAATAATAGGCAATGATATGCACTTTTAGCACAATAAGCAGTTCATTCATAGGGATATTTTTATGAAATTTATTTAAAAAGACATGCATTCAAGTTAAAAATAAAGAAACACAATTTTTTACGCTTGATGTGCATTACCATGTCTGTATTAAAAACAAATCCGAGTATAGTCTTTTTGAAGTCAGTTGAACATGTAAAAAAACGCCTGGCAATAAAATTTAATGACTTTCATAGGCATCCCTAAAAAGTTTTCTGCTAAAGGTACAAAATTATAACAATTTGTATACAAATGTGTAGAGAATATATTGATGGTAAATTTCGTTTTGTTCCGTTTCAAAAGGTCTCCAAAATGCCATGTTGTAATAATATTATTTCTCCCTTTCGCAATTGTAAAATCAATGATTAATAGAAGGTACCTATAATAAAATAATTACCTGAATCACATTAAATTCCTCATTGCTGCACTGCACTGCTAGGCAATTTCTCAACCACTTGTCAACAGCTGAGATTTATTGCCAAGTGGTCCAATGCAGCTGTGTTTGTATTTCGTTTGCCCGCGCTCGCATTCTTCAACTGGGCGTATACATTTCTACCACCTCCACGTTTAGTTCGACAAGACCTGTATATGGGTATGGCTAAATAAATATAAGTTTTTCAAATATTTCAATGCCAAGTTGCTGCGACAGCGACCGAACCTGGTACATACTGTCAACTTCTTGGTTCTTCAATTGATATCGGAAAGACTATAATACATGTTTTATATAAAAAGATATTTCATGCCAATAAAGTTCATCATACTGTACTTTAATCACATCAATAAAGTTAAACCAAAGTGTTTATATATGAAAAATAGTAGTAGTTCAGGTAATAAAATAAAAATGTTCATTGCTACATTGACATGATATAATTCTTGATATATTTCAGATTATAGCATACGTAATGTGTAGATCAATATGCTTAAAATTTCGACATGGTAGACATCTGGTGTATGATTTCTCATGAGATGTTTGGAAACTGTAATGAAGAAAAAGTTAGAAAGTGAACAAGAAACAATTTCGACAAATTTTTAAGAGTTATGTACATTCAATACTAATTGAGTATTAATCTTCTAACCCTTCTTTTTGTAGCCAAATAAAACAAAAATTCTTAAAGAAGTCTCTGCATGCTCTGCATGACTTAACTACAGGAAAAACGGTTAATAGAGCTTATACAATAAAAGTAAAAATATAATGAATATTGATGAGATTATTCATGCGTACCTGGCAGGCAATTTGAAATGATTGAAAGTAATTTACACCCTGTAGCTATGCACATTTTTATTCACGTGCAAGTAATATTCTGCGTTTGTGTTAGAACATACGCAGAATCACATTTTGTCGTTGCAAAAATCGTTAAGGTGATGATGCACTTTAAAACATTTCGATGTGTAATATCAGGGCTGTAGTGCGCAGAGTAGGTGTTTCTCACAATATCACTAATAAAAAATGGTGTTTGCATTAATTTATTTATGATACATGTTTAAATTTCATTTACTTTAGAATCTTTAGATTAGATGATTCATTCTCGATGATTATACCAAAATGAACTGTGTAATTCCACCCTTAGTTTCACGAGACAAAAAAATGGCTACTATGCTAACTTTACAGTTTTTACTTCATTCAAATTTCAAATATGTAATTTTTTGGTTAAAATTCATTATTATATATCGGAAACTCTATGGCGACAATCAAATAAATAAACTATTATGCTAGAATGTAGCAATACGCGTTGTAGTAGCAGAAATACGCTAAATTTATGGTCTTGCTGTGTGCCGCTCTATGCTCACAATACACAATACCACTGACTGCTATAAAAACACGTGCAAAGCGTTAATGCACAGCCAACGTCTTTCAGCGAAAAACCGGGATTGTTCTTCAGCACACCAGGTCGCCAAGGCAGGCATTATTGTGCTTCTAGATACGTATCGAATAAATTGATTGAAGCGAAGCTCAGAGGCAGACATGTACATTTTATTGTACAATGACGGTGATAGTGGGATGACTAAAATATGAAGTAGCTGATGCTTCGCCATCATTAGTAAAAATAGCATATATTAAAAACTTGGATTAAAAATGTTGAATGGTCATTTTCGTTTTTGAAATGGGTATTTATTGATCCCTGAAGACGATTAACTGCGGAACACTTAGGACAACTGTTCATTATTTTCTACAGTCGCTTTTCTTATCAGTAAGAAATTATTATTTTGTTAACTTTTGCTGGTACATAGTTATTATTACATATTATACTTATATATTTTGTGATAAGTTCCATATAAAGCGTTTAGTATAGCAAAATAGACACTACCTAAAGCCAACCCTGTACCACGTTGCAGCCGCCTTAACATTAAAAACATAAAAATGCCTTTCAATGTATCAGAAAATATGTTTCCAGTTTTACAGTATCTCTGTACTGACTGCAATATAATCATACAATCACGTACATCTTAAAATTGTAATTTTTCTTAAAAAAGGGGAACTATTATTTGTTACTCTGTATATCATAGTTAGTTACACAGGTATTTGCTTACGTTAGTAATAATAAACATCATATTTTTCAAGGTTAAAAGATATACACATGACTTAAGTGATGTTTGCCACCAAGTACTACACGAAAAACTTCGGTACTACTTATATCAGTCAATGATATAAATATAACTCCTGCTTATATCGAATATAAGGATTTTTGTGCGCATATATTCAGGACCGGCTTCATGATTTGGTACAATTCATATAAAGAAGTGGCAAACTTGTTTTGTTGATTAAATATGTTAAAATCTTGTTAAGTTAATTTTAAATAAATTATGTTTAGGGTAGATATTTAGGAAAATCTATTAGTTAATAATTTTTGTGAACCTGCAACTGTTTTTTTTATTATAAGAGAAGGCTAGATTAAAATTATCTTCATTAATTTCCGTTTATTTGTACTGAGTAGTCAGATTTATAGTGTGTTCCAGTAAACATAAACTAAAATCGGAAAATCTATTTGTAGATCAAAGACAATATTATTCTTCAGTTTTGGCATTGTACAACAATACAACGTATTAAATTAAATGAAATCCAGAATTGGAAGAAAATTTTTATTCATTAAAAAGATGGAGACGATGTTCTGGGTAACAGTTGTTGACGTGACTGTTAACACGTTTTCCATATTTCTTTTGTCCCATCTGCCACAAAATAAGAAGCAACCCCTAACAACGGCTTTCGTAACCCATCTATTTCGCTTTGAATACAGAATGTCCAGCGTCGGACTGGGCTGCTGGGAAGCTTGGCAAATTCTCGATGATGTAAGATTTAAAAAATATTTTGATTAATAACTAAAGTAAAGGAAGTTATGGTTTAAATTAACTTTCTCAAATACTTCATGTGTATGTCTTTGATTCAAAGGTACTGTTTCTTAGATCGAACGTTGTCTACAGGTCAATTCTGTGGTAGGGCGATATTGTAACTTTTCTGAATACATGATAGGAATTTTTTGTTTACGTTGGGCTGAGGTTTGGTATTTAAAAAACTGCTGTATTTTAAAATACCGATCTTGGTAAGAGTTTTCGACAAATATTCTATTAATTTACTTAATTTAATATTAAAAGTCAGATTAATTAAATATTGGATTGTTAGGATATTTGTTTAAGATTAAATGATCAATTCGCTATTCGCTCATGCACAGTTGGGATCTTTTAATGACCGATCTTGGAAAATTTGCAATTTTATCCTTCTATATTTCGTCTTTATTACTACTGTCAAACTGAAATCACATGTTTAGTGTTAAAAACAAAAAATAATATATATTTTTTAACTCAATTGCAAAGCCATTTTGTCTGTGCAGAATCATATCCGAGTCCGTATCATCAGAGAAGTTAGGAAATAAAATAGTTAAATAACATTAATCCAAAAAAATCGTAAAACAAGTCTTAAATCAAAACTAAAAGACAAAAATAAGTAAAACAAATAAACCCTCCATCTAAAAATACATTTGCATTATAGACGTGCATAAAAAGTATTTCCCCTCATCTATGACCCCCCTTCCTACCATCTATGCTTCATTTTCCTTTTTTTTATTATAATTATAGAAAATACCAGCATGGAATAAAAGTCTATGAAAATTTTCATCTCAATGTCTGCTGCAACAAGTTGGTGAGGATATAAAAATGCAGATTTTGGTCGCAAAGCTTCGCTAGCTTTAATTTAGTGTACTTCTCATAATATTTTACGTCCTGGAAAACCTGACGGACCGGGATGATTCATTCTTGTCGATTATACATAGATTATCGTTATACTTTTTGGCTGATTATGAAATAAGTTTGATTACATTTTATGAAGAGATCAACAGAAAAAAGTCTTTTGATTATTAACTTTGTTGTAGGGGGTCCAAAAGATGCAACCTTATTTTGAATAGTTGCATCACTCTCTGAAAGATTTCCTATAATTTCTATGGATACACCTTTTTTTTATTTATAGCTGCTCATTCACTTCATGCTTTGTAAAACAATCTTAAGTAGTAGACTTTCATATAATGTAAATCACTTCCACGTTCATCAAATAATCCGGATGGAATATTAAATGATATAATGCTTTGTTTTCCTCACTAGTTGCACACGATTCTGTGTTGTTTTCTAGACTCGCCGAACGGTTGGACTAGCGGCAACGTTGAAGTGAGTAAGCACCTCAGAGTGGTGGTAAGAAATTTAACTTCCTTCAGTTCCTTCAGTTAGGTTCGTCGTTTCTTGACCGTAAAGTGTAAGAGGATTAGTGAGTGGACGTTTCGCATGAGGTTTGTGTTATGCAATAAGTGGAAGTGTAGCAGTCCCAACCATGTGAACGAGAATAAATGTGTGTGTCAGTTTGCGAGGAAACACTTAAAAAAATAGGTAAAAACAACGTCTAAATCCAGATGCATAATAACAACTATGAATCTTAAATAATGACTGTCAACAAAAACATTTGTTCTAGTTACGTTTTTTTTGTTGCAAAATTGTACTCACATCTTAAAATAATTTTTTTCCATGGTAAATACTTTATTTTTTACAGTTATTATAAGCAATGACTTATCTATAATTACTGGTAGTACATTTTGTATTTACGAATTTTCCTTTGGGTAGGTATTATACTCGTAATATAAACACAGAACAGTTGTCTAAAGTATAATAACAAAATACTGCTGCCTTGAGGTGAGCTATGCAAATATTATTAATACAAAAATATTAATTTAAATTTTAATTTCTTTTATTTATTGCTGTTTAGTGCATATAATTAATACATATTTCAAATGTACATTCAAAATGTAGGTATGCTAATTCTAATTATGTATTTAAAAACGTTTATTTAAGTTCTTATCAAATGAAGTCATATACCTAACTATAGGTATGATAAGGAAGCAATTCCACATACAAGCTACTCATTAATAATAAGCTAAACTAATAAATAACACGGACCCACAAAAAAAAAATTGGAAATATCAGAGACTAGACCCGTCAAAATACATATAAAATAGTCTTATTGTGCTGGTTCTCACGTTTATCTCAACCTTCGGACCCGTGCTTAAGCGAGAATTTGAAGATTTTCCGTGTTGTTGGGGTAGTTTTTCGCGATTTAAAAAAAAACTGGAGGGTGATGGAACAATTTCGACTCCTTTCAGCGCGTCAAAATACATAAGGATATGTGGATCTAGTCTCTGGTATTTTTTTTATGGGTCTGTGTAATCATTCCAAATATTACCTACTATCGAAATAAATGAAATAGACCCCTGAGTTTGGAAACCGATATTAAGAAAACGGATTGGCAAAAAAAATTTGAAATTTGGCCCATATACAGGGTGTTCCTAAATAAGTGTCGCAACGGAAAACTGTAAATTCCTCTTGAAAAAAGAAACATATTTTTCCTCTTCCATTTTTCTCTCCAGGCTTTCGTTTTCGAAATACACGGGTCAAAACTTTATTTTTTTTTAAGTTTTTTGCCAATATCTTAGGAACCGTTATAACTACAGGACTGAGCTTTTGTACACACATTACCACTATTAATAGCTACTTTTTCGCACCCTTCTCGAATTCATTGGACGTGCCAGTGGTGGAGATTTTAAAGTATCGTAAGGGTTTTTCCCCCTAACTTTTACGCCACTGGAAAAATTGACATTTGACAGCAAATTCTGGAGCGCCAATGAATTTTACACAAAAAGAGTTCTCTTGGTTCATTGCTCTAAAGTCAACCGTTTTCAAGAAAAATGACTTTTTATGAACAAAAACATTTTGCTGTTTCTAAAACCGTTTGTAATTTAAAAAATAGGTAGTAATAATTAACAATTTTAACGAAATTTAACAACATATAGGATTTTAACTTAAAAAAACTTAAAAATAATTATTTATCAATTTAGCGACTAAAATTTACAAAAACTGTTCAAAATTACGTCCGTTGACTTGAATGCACGCATTATATAGTCAGATCATGATTCTATGAACGTTGTTCATAATTTGATGGGTATTTCTAATTTGTTCCGATGTGGCTTCAACCCCAGCGGTCAATTCTTCGACCGTGTTGACAGGGGTTTCATAGACAATGCTCTTCATGTGACCACATAAGAAATAATCATGTGGGGATAAATCCGGCGACCGGGCGAGCCAGTGCACCGGACCACCTTTTCCGATCCATCTTTCTTCGAATGTTCTGTTGAGGTACTCTCTTACAACAACTGCAAAATGCGGGGGTGCCCCGTCATGTTGAAACCACATACGTTGTCAAATATTTAAAGGGACATCATCTAATAATTCAGGTAAGACCTCTTCATGAAAATTTAAATAAATGGGCAACACATAAGGACCTATCAAATTATCATTAATAACCGACCATACATTGATACTAAATTTGTGTTGATGACCATTGAGAAAATTAGCTTGGGGGTTTTCTTCACTCCACAAATGATTATTATGTAAATTGAAAATACTGTAGTAAAACTGGCTTCATCAGTAACGAGAATTGATTTTGGAAATTGATCATTTACAATTGTTGATGCGTGGCAATTGTTAATTATTATTACTACCTATTTGTTGAATTACAAAAGATTTCGAAACGTTAGCTATCTCCGTAAACATTGCATTCTTTAAAAAAAGAAAAAAACTTACAGGTAGTAAATAATTATAAACAACAATCTGAAAAAAAATGTTAAAATAATAGTTATAAAGGCTGTACTGTATACCCTTCATCGGACCATGAATGTAATTGACCATTTCGATACTGTTTTTAAGAATATCATATTTATAACTGTATTATTTTAACAAATTTTTTCAGATTATTGTTTACAGTTATTTACTGCCTGTCAGTTTTTTTCTTTTTTTAAGGAATGCAATTTTTATGGAGATAACACTCCCTTTTGTTTTGCTTAAAAATAAAAGAAAGAAGAGCTTTTGAGACAAATGATCTTCAAAGTACTAAAGACAATACTTCGACTTATCGTCAGTAAAAATTTTGAATTTTTTTATCAATTAACAAAAGAATTACGAGTTAATGTGAGAGGTATCAATTTTGTAGACAGAAAACCGTGATTTTTTAAAAATTTTCATTAATAACTAAAAAATTGGTCAACAAAACTAACTGAAATTTTAGCACATAATAGAGTAATACTAAGGCTATATATGGTCCAAATTTCAAATTTTTTTGCCAATCCGTTTTCTTAATATTGGTTTCCAAATTCAGGGGTTTATTTCATTTATTTCTATAGTAGGTACCTACTAAGTAATGAAAAATAAATAGCTCATCCAATCTTGTAATTATTAAATGAAATTATGAAATGATGTGGCAAAAAGAAAATATTTTCAATTTCTGTTTTATATATATTCTGAATCAATAATTGAAAATAATTGGAAAAAATTAAACATTGACAGAAACTCGAAATAAATTTGGAAAATATACTTATTAACATTCAGATATATTTTGCTGGAATACCTAAGCATCAATCGATATGAAAATAACATACTCTCCAATCAGTGGAGTCTATGCACAAATTAACAAAGTACATTTTATTTAAAATAACAAAAATAATCAGAATCTTAATTGTTATGAGTAGGCTTAGTGCGGCGCGGAGTTTAACAGGACCGTAATCAGATTACGAATGAAAATATTAATATGTTTGCAGAAAATATATCGCAACATAGTACTATTACCAAAGAGCAAGGCTAAGTAGAGGATAAAATACCTATATAAATTTAAATGACACCACTTACCTGATAAACCTTAGTGTTGAGACAAGGCTTCCATGGCATATTGGAAATTGGAAGGAGTTAAAACATATTACTACGTGTTTTTCTAATTGTAAGTTTTCTTTAGTGAAAAGGCGACGTTTATCACTTAATATTAACTTGTGTAGGGAAAATGACCGTTCAACGTCTACTGTTGACAACGGACAGTATGAGGAATTGTTGAGGCATAATTAATATATTTGCTGGTAATTCCTGATATGTACCAAATAAAACTTTACATATGTTTTCCAAAATGGTCTATCCTGGATTTTGTTCCAACACTCTTTGCATTTTTCTTTTTATCGTACTACTGGGCGTATATTATTGATATCGCATATATTTTTTGTACGTCATCCATTATATGAAACTATTTATTTAGGGATAGTCATGTGATTCCAATTTACGAAATTACGGAACTTGGGTTCTCTAGTTTGTTTAATGGAATATTGCTCGAAAGAAAGGCGTCTGTAAGTTCATAGATAAATACAGAGTCTTCAGCGCTGGACAAGGCATGGCTCTTCAAATGTCTTGTCACTTTAGTTTTGTAACAACTTATAATGCGTTCATACACAGTACAAGACAGGTCATTTCCTTTAATACGCATGTCCCTGTAACCTTCGGGATCACTGTCAAACCACATTTGAAATAATTCCCATCTATTTTTTTTCTCTTGGCATTTTACTTCACTTTCCCCCCCAACTAATAATTGTTAATGTAAATTATGTTACTATTTTTAAATAGTTATATAAATACACAAGAAAGGTGTCGACGCGACACCAACTACTACGACGTTCCGTAAATAACTGAACAGTTCGAAAGGCGAGTCAGCTGTGAAGGCCATCAACTCCCGTGTGGGCTCTGTTAAACTCTGCACGTGCACTAAGCCTAGTCATGAGTAAATTATAAGTCTTTATAACACAAAAAAGTGTTTTTTTTTAAACAAATCTCAACATGAAACGAACTCAAAAAACATTATTTTGTAAATTCACATGGATTCTCATCCATGATTAATCTTCTGAATTGTCTTATGCTTTTGAATTTTCTGATTTCAGAGCAATATTATGATCCTTAACATATATTCCAAATTTTTGTCAGCTTCCTCTAAAAGCGCAAATGGTTCATTTTGTTATTAATTTAATTTCTAAAGGCTATGATTTTAAATATTTTTTGTTTTTTTTTTTAATTTTTTTTGGAAAAACCGTTTTTTTCTGACGTTAATTTGTTTGGAAAATTTTAAACCACTCTTCTGGATACAGCCATGGTATGGCAAATTGAAAACTACTTGGAAACGCCTGAAGATGACGAAAGTTAGTCAATTACTGACATTGTTGAATATATCTGGCAAATAATAGACCTAAAACTGTAAAAATATATTCAAATCGTTGTAGGTAATGTAAAAAAAAATCAGAGAAATGTCATGTCTTTTAGGGGGTATATAACTTATTACTATATAAAGTCACAAATTAATCTCAATAATAAAAAAAATCGGGAAGATAGATAATTTTTAATTTTAAATTTAAATGTAAACCTGAATAATTGCTCATGAGAAACTACAATTTTTAATTTTTCATCAAATTTATTTATTCATAAATTTACATACCAATTGAAGATTCAATTAATTCATTTTAATTAATACACTTATT